TTGCTTGGGAACTCGCCTCTCGGGAAGGTACAGCAGAGAGGCAGAACTAGGTTTTCTGTGTAGGAACTTAAAAGCTCTTCTGATGGTGTTTCCTGGAATGCCCCTGCTGTCACCTGCGGAGAAGTACAAGGTCAGACATAGAAGAGCCTCAGTGTGTGGCTGGGAGTGTGGTGTAGGAGGAAAATGTTCAGACTCACTGGGAACTACAGAAGCGTGGAACAGAGGGAGCTTGTGCAGAAAGGAAAACTTTCGTCTAGAGGAAATCAAAACCAGGCTTCTGGCACTTAAAATTGAAAAGCTTCCATAGGGGAGTCCTTAGCTGTTTCTTAAAGGCAGTGTCAGGTGTGAAAGAGCACACAGTTTGGGATGATGCATTTGCTTGGGGTGAGGTTTTAAGATCTGTGTGCCTTCAAACAAGTGTCAGGCTTGAGGTTGGTGGCATGCAGTAGAGATGGCCAAGAGTAGCTTAAGCAGATAGTCCCATTTCAATAGTAAATTAGGGTGAAAATAAATGGGTGGCTGAAACAAAGCTTACGTGTTTCTGACAGCCAGGTTTGGAAAATGCAACAGGGAACCGAAACAGGCAGTTTGAAATGGGGATGCTTATCTGTTTAGATTCAGGTCTGTCAGTGGGACCTTCTAACACTGGGGCACAAATTACACAGGAAAGATGGAATAGCTCAATCCAAGGGAGAAGTGGCAGTATCTGTTGAAGAAAGCTCTAGCGTTAAATCTGATTCCTGGTGGGTTTGATCAGTAGAAGTCATCTGGACTTGAAATACCAGCTCTGTGGAGAACAACTAACCTGCTAACTGACTACCCAATGTGATGGAGGGAGTGACTGCTCTGTTAAGGAAAATCAGAGGGGCAGGAAGGACTGGACAGAAAAGCAAAAGAAAGAATTACTTACCCTTGTGTAGGTTGGATCACACATGTCGGGTTTGATGCCGAGTGCAATTGTTTTGATGTCACAAATGATGATTTTGAAGAACCCCTGAGAAAAGCAGCAGTTCTTGACTTGATCTGGAGCAGTGCTCGGGTAATTGGACGCAGATGTTGCTTTAGAACAGCCAGACTGTAGTTTTAATATTCATGCAGGAATAATAAAAGCCAAAGAAACAACTGATGCATTTAATTTTGGAAGGGGGAATTACATAAGATGAGGAGGCTCATTAACTCACATATGGGTTAAATATAAAAACCAGAATAAGGCAGATGAAAAGAGTTTGAGAAACAGCTTGCACAAGGAATAAAGCCAACCATAAATCCTTTCCTCCTTCTGATGTGCTGGGGTGGGGCAGGGAGAGATGGCCCCAGAATTTGTAAGGCTGGTAGGAACAGGGGTTAAGAAAGAACACCTGCAGAAAGTGAATCTGGAGGACTTAATTGTTTGTGTACACCCATGGAGGTGCTTAGGGAGGTTTTAATGGAAAATGGTGGCATGGTAAGCATATTGGAAACCTTGAGTGCAGTGTTCTACTCAGCACTGCAATAGCAGGCTCTGAGACAGAATCTTTGCCATCGGGGAGAATCATTAGAGGACATTTCTCATTAATATGCCAAAATAATTGGCTTTAGAGAAAATCAACAACATGAATGGTGTTTAAGTGCCATGATTTGGTGATACACGCCTGAGACTTAAAAGAAATTTGAATCTGAAATCGCCAGCGTCTTAACTCTGATGCATATCCCATCATGTAACTGCTCCTTTCCAGGGAAATGGAAATATGCCAGTATTTTAAGATTTTGGAGGGAGGTACAGGCACAAAGTCAGATCTCTGTATTCTGTAAATTGAACTCACGGATAAATAAATGAAGCACAGAAATCAGTATGGCTTTATATGGCTGCCCACCTCTCCCCCTTTGGAAGCGTGTTTTGTTTTGCACATCTGCTGAAGTTTTCTGACGGAATTTATAATTACAGAGTGTCGCCATAGATGAGTTGGTTGATGTACTCGGATTCCCAAAGGCATTGCTAAAGGCTTGATGGGAATAAAGGTGCTGCAAGACAAGGGAAGACCTCTAGTGGAGTAATAACTAATAGCAAACAAAGAGTAGGAGTTAATCTTCAGGTTTTGTAATGTGAGCGTAGAATTGTTTTTATCCAGTTGAATTTCACGGGGATCTTGTATGGCACATGCTTTTCAGCATATTGATAAGTCTGCTAAAAGAAAAGAAAACTCTCAGTGAAGAGCTGCAGAAGGATTACTCCATTTTGAAAGACTGGGCAGTAAAAATTGTGTTGGTAGATGCAGAGTAACACAAATGATTCGAACTTCATATACACATTGATGGTTTTCTGCTTAGGAACTCTAACCAGTGATTCCTACTTAAGAAAGTGATCTTGGAGATACACTGGATTATTCTAGAGAAAGTCAGCTGCTAATACTGCTTTCTTGAAAAGTGATGAGCTCTTTAGACAGGAAACAAGACACCACTAATATGTACAACAGTGGTTTGACTGTATCCTGAACCTGGTGTGCAGTCTGCGTTTGTCTTTTCATGATGTAACTGAACAGTTGGAAGGTGCGTATGCTTCACAGGGAAAGTTAAATAGAGTAGGACTTGTCAATCCAGGAGGGGTATGTTTGAAAGACACTTAAGTGCTGCTGAAGTACAGGTGCTGCAGAGAAAGTTATTGGAGAAACAATGGATATTTATTCATTTAATACAAAACCTAGGAGCCATCTAATATTTATGTATAATTTATGTAGCTTTGAAAATTGACCAGTCTAACCCAATGAAGGAAAAATGCACCAAAGACAACAAAGCAGTGGCAACTGTAGTTCACAGATCCCTTGAGCTAAGGGCTTTTGGAAGGTAGGAGGCTAGTATGAAAGGAGCAGAGATGGTTGCCCTGTTCCCTGGTTGACATTTGGCACTGGGTGGTGTCAGTGCAAAGGTGTTGGCTGGGCAGACATGTGGATATTTGGCCTGACCCACTATAGCCTCTCTAATGTAATGCAGGAATAAATGCTCCTGCACCAGCTGTTTGCCCCTGTAGTATATGCACTGTGTCACTCGCTGGGGTGATGTGCTCTGAGTGACTAGAAAAGCCCTACTTCATGGTCTGCAGTGGGATGCAGCAACCACTCTCTGAAATTCTCCTTTGCTACCATCATTCCCCCAAGCCTGTCAGCTTTGCATGGCCAGTGGCATCACAGCTGAGAAGAAAAATTGGGAGAAGCTTAAATATTTGTTTCGCTCTCCCTTACGGAAACTATAAAATGTTACTCTTTGCCTTAAAATGTCATGACTTTCGGAGGGCATTTCTATTTGATTTCTTCAGCTTGTGGCTCATTTTAAGGTGGTGAGGCACCTTTGCTATCAACCTAACCAATGCTCATAATATAGAAAATGTTTGTGTGTCGGGGAGGGAAGTACCTTAGTAACTGGATGTGTGCCTCTCAAAAATAATTATCACATAAGAGTCCAAAAGAGCTCAGAATGCACTGGGCAAACCAGGATGACTACAGCATTGCTGTCTTCCAGTTTGTTTTCCAGTTGGTGTGAGACCAGAAGGCAACTGCTCCTACACAGGCAGCCTTACTCTGTATGCTGGGATCATGGAGTCACAGGATGGCTGAGATTGGAAGAGCCCTCTTGGGATCATGGAGTCCAACCCCTGCTCAAGCAGGGCCACCTAAAAGCAGGGTGCCTAGGGCCCTGTCTGGTTGGGTTTTGAGTATCTCCGTGGATGGGTACTCCACTACCTCTCCAGGAACCTGTGCCAGTGCTTGATCACTCTCACGGTGAAATGTGTTTTCTTATGTTCAGATTGAAGTTCCTGTTTTTAAAATTTGTGCTCCTAAGGCTCTGTGCCATTCAAAAGAGATGTGTTGTACCTCAGCCTGGACTTAGAGAAGTGGAAGGCTGAAGCAGTACAAGATACCCAGGCAGGGTATGGGAAGTGACACAGGAGCCATCAGTGGCAGGAGTCTGGAAGTGCTGCTGTTTGTACTGCAGCCAGTACCAGTTTTAATTCATGCTAACTCAGTATACAGCAGGGCTGGTTTTGATTCCAGAGGGAGTTCTTGGATTGATTTCTGCAATAAAATACCTGAGCATTGTCATGTGGAAAAGCAGTGTTCAATGTGAATTAGCTGTGAGGCAGTTAGTGGAGTTCTTGGGGTCTGGGAGCAGCAGTTTTATACTCACCTTGCAGAAGATCTGTGCTTCCTGCTGTCAGTCAAAGTGGGAGTTTTATTTTACCTTTCTTGAATTAGCAACACCTCACTTTTCCTTTCTATTTCCCTTGCTTTGTTTTTAAAGGCAGCTGGGAATCCCTATTGTCTCTAGCAGTTAATGAAATCTTACTGTCTGCCTCTAAATAAGGTTCTGTTTTATCTGCACTGTGAAAATAAACGTCTGTTGCAGAGAGGTGATGAATTAAATACTACCTCCAAGCGACTTAAGTGCAATTTGTATTTTCACAATACTTCACTGAAAAGAAAAGTACATCACTATCAGTATTTTATATATCATCTTGAAGTTCCACACTTGCAAGTTTCTCTTCATGTGTCTCATTTGGTAGCATGGTGTGTGAAAAGGCCATGCAGAATTGATGGGGGGGTGTGTGCGTGTGACATCCTTATGAAGGTGGAGAACTTGTGTAGTGTTGCACACTAAATGGCAATGACATGAGGTAGAAATGACAAAAGTAACTGGGGATAGAAATGTTGTATTTCTTTCCCTTCCCATTGTCAAGTTCTCATACCTTACATACTTGTCTGCTCATGTCAACTATTAAGTGTAGATTTTCCACATGTTGAAAGCTGGGTTTTGGTTTTTTTTTTTTCCTTTTTCCTCAGGAAAATGGGTCATGCCAGAGACTTCCAAAACTTATGGAATTAACTCTTACTCATTTTTTATTAATCCTTTATAGGCAGAACAAACTTTAGTTATTCTCTGTAATCAGGAAGATTTCTTTTTGCAAGAAGACTATGTAACCTTTTCCTAATCAGTAACATTGCTACCTTTTCTTTATTTTACTAGTTATTGGACAGCCTGTGAAGAGTAAGCATCCAAAAGAACCTGGGGAAAACAAAATTAAGCCTGTTAATAAAAAAGTAAAACCCAAAACTTCTAGAGCAAAGGAGAGAGAATCTGCTGACTCCTCTTTGAAGTCCCAGTCCATACTGACACAGGTGATGGATAAAGGTCACTTCCAGAAACTAGCTCCCACTTTAAGCCTGTCTGCAGGACAGAGCATAGAACTGCGATGTAAGGGGAGTAATGTTACTTGGAACTATCCTTCATACTTAGACACCTTTAAAGACTCCAGACTCAGGTAAGTTGTTTATCTTTTTTTGAGGGGCTGGGGAGAAATTCAGAACTCCCCCCCCCCCTCAAATCCATTGGGGTTTTGTTTGTTTGTTTACATTTTTACAATCGAGATATTTCATCTCGTGGTTTCTAACGTGAACAGAACAGGATGAGCATCTTTCAGTCATCACCAGTTACTGCCCTGTGATTCACACTGTGGAATAGCATTGTATGTGTGAACTAGGTTTCCTTCAGATGGATCTGAAAGAGAGGATGTGCTCCTGCATTGGACAGGGAACCATATTAGAGCGAGTCCAAAGTAAAGCTCTCAAATATATGTGATGTCAGGTACTCACTACGGACTCTGTGGCACTACTACACCTGCTACTGGTGGCCTGTACTGGTTGCCAATGTAGCTACCACCTGAGACAGTAAGATTTATTTCCAGAAGGGGCTCAAACAAGATACTCTTGTAGCATTTGAATCTCTCAACTAGGAAAACCACACACCAACCACCATGATAAGGAGCAAGTAAGAGTAGTATTTACTTTTTCAGTCAAAGTTATCTTTCTATGCAAAAAAAAAAAAAAAAAAAGAGAATTGTGAGGTTTGTGCTGTAGCAGAGTTTAATGCTAAAGATAGTTGTTCTGGGATTAGGAAGGCTTTTTTCCCATCTAGTGGCATCTTAATGGAAACTCTGTAAAGAGGTGTTAGAGCCCCCTTATCACCTTTCTGGCCCTCCTCTGGACTTGCTCCAACAGCTCTGTGTCCTTATGCTGAAGATACCAGAACTGAACACGGTACTCCAAGTGGGTTCTGATGAGAGGCAGGATCACCTCCTTAAAGATGAAAGGCAAGTAGTGAGGAAACTGTGGAGCACTGTGAATGATGCCCTAAGAATGAACTGTAAGGAGCTTTTCTTTCATTATTAGGTGAGAAAGGCACAGAGGTGAAGAAATTAACTCCTATTGTTCTTTTGTTCCTAAGTTAAGTAAAAGTATGTATGCTGTCTGTAAATAACTGACGGGTTATCTGAATCTCTGTGATCCATTTTGCTTATTTACAGGTATGATACTGCCTTACAATCACACACAATTAATTTTTCAGATATATTCTTCTCCTTTACACTCCTCTTTTCAAAGAACGTTGAAGATTGGCAGTTATACACTGTGATCTCTTGCATATCCTTCTGACACTTGTAAGCCAGTTCTTCTCGAGTGTTTGTTTGCTTGTCCCCTGACTGCTGAGGCGTTCAAGAGCTACCCTGGCTGAATAAACCTCTGTAGCCAGTGCAAGGCTTCTGTCATAGTAAGTTATAGCATCAAGCCTGTTTCTTATGAGGGCTTATTGCAGCAGTATCTCACAGAAGCTCTTGTGGTTTGTTTTTAACAACTGTCGCTTTTTCTTTTGCAATGTTTTATCTGGATTTATTCCAGTAGGTGGCGTTTATCAGCTGCAGGACAGACCTGGCCTTCAGCAAGCCAAAGCTGAACCTCCAAAGTAACAACAGGAGCCGTGTGTGTGCTGGTTCTTGTGGTTTTCAAGTGTCTTATGTTTTCTGCATTTGCAAATAGGTCGGTGGCATGATTTGGTTCTGTATATATAGCAGATCATGCTGTCTGAGTATTAGCATCTGGCACTCACAAAAGCAAGGCAAGTATTCACAGTTTTGGAGAGGAATCCAAATACTACTTCATTATTTGACTGTCTCTTCCTCTCTTGCAAAATGAAGTACTATTCTAGTGATGCACATGGGACAAAATACAAGTATCTAAGGTAGCTGGTGGGGGGGAAGATATGCATTTCCTAATTGTGTAGTTTGTCATTTTGTAGTTTGAAGTAGTTTGGGGTTCTGTTGCCTCAGCAATGTACCTTTTCTGTTCTCAATCATGTTCACAGTATTTGTAACTTTTTTAACCATATTACAGAAATTAATAATGTCATGCAAAAAAATGCTATAAAGCATTTTGGCTGGGTAGCTATAACTTGCCTAAGTATTTTCTTTTGGAAGTATGCTAGGCTTATACTTAAGGGTCTATAATGAAATGTGATGATCTTTGTTTTAGAAAAAATGTGTTGAACTAAGTTACTGAGGCAGTAAGTGTAGACTGAATCATCAATTTTAGATGTAAGCAGAAGGTCCTGTAATTAACTTGAGAAATTGAAAACATTAGATGAGTAGTGCACTTCAAAGTCACAGAATAGTGATAATTTATGGTGACGCTGACCGCAGAATCATGTGCAGTTATTGCTTCATCACATTTTTAGCATGACTTTGGTAATTATCCCAAGATCTTTTCTGTAGTGCTAATTGATGCATGTGAAACAAAGTCTGCTTTGTAGAATGTGAAATCTATATGGGTTTAGAAAGCTTTGATTTGAATTTAACTAGAAATGTCATAAAGAGAGCATGTTATTTAGTTACTTGGTAAGTGTATTGGCAGCAGCAAAGGTTAACTCAGAGGAGCTCAGATGTAGCTTGCAGCATACAAGAAGAACCAACTGGAATAGGCAAAATGTGCAATTACATTCATTATTTTAAAAAACACAAAGCTGAATGCAAGGCAAAGGGGGGGAAATCAGAAAAAGTATTAGCCAGTAACCTACTGCAAAAATGGTTTAATCATCTAGATGTGTCTATGTCCTGTGTCTTCTAACACTTTTTGAGTGCATAAAGACCAAGTGTAAGGTAATCCCTTTGTTACCAGTTAGGTGTGGGGTGAAATTAACTAGCCTGAGCTATTTTTACCTTGTGTTTCCATGCTGGTCTTGCTGGAGTTGGGGCACTGGTGCAAACCAGAGTTGGTGGCAGCAGCAAGGGGGAAGTGGTTGAGGTCTGAAGCGCTAATGGAAAGTCAAGGAGCATGTTGCTGGGCCCAGAGGATAAATGTGGAGGAGGGACACTGGTGATGAGGCCCATGCAATTGCTGTGGACTAAGGACTGTAATTCTTTTGTTGTATAAGTCTCTGCAGCAACAGGTGCTCAGGTATCCAGTTCCTGGTTTCCTTTAAGTAAGAGGAGGGATGCAAAAATTCAACTGGTCTGGTGGGAATTTTAAAAATAAGCAAGGGTGTTTATATCTCCTGGGAAGTGCTAATGTCCTCTAGCTGCTACTAGAGAGGAGGCTTTAAGGACCCTGACATCTTAACAGAATTGCGATTACGGGAGGAAGAAGAGACCTTTAAGGGTCAGGGCAGTGAGGGAATTTGTAGCTTAGTTGGAAGGTTTGTTAACAGCAGAGTTCCAGGGCAGCAGCTGACACTGAAGAGGCTTACTGTGTTCTGTTTTCCTGTCTGTAGCTGTGGGAGAAGAGCGTGTTTTGGTTTGCAAATAGTTAAATTTAGCACCCGCATAATGTATTTCCTATGGGTGGTTGCAAAAAGAAGTAGGGATAAAAGCCAGATGTTTTGTTTCCATGCCATGCTTACCATGTTTTTATGGTAATATGGTAAGGAGAATACAGCAGCCTGGAGGGCCATACCACTTTTCAAAGAAGGAAGAGATTATTATTAGAAAAGCCATTTCTGTAGTGTTAGTGGCCATGTTTTCTTTGAGTTTGTCTTTGTGAGTGTACTTTACAACCTGTTAAATAAGTGATTTTTGCTTGCTGTAACAGAGAGTCTCAGGTTTTAATAGATCTGTAGCTGTTAACATGCTAGAATTATCATATGGGTGGAGGGAAAGATGCTGAGTGAAAGGAGGAGGAGGTACTTTGGCTGTTTTTTTCTGAGCCAGAGGAGAAATTCACTTTCCACTGTCCTAACTGGAGCAAATAACAGTACACACTGAAATGATTTACTTTGCTTTAGAGATTGTAGATGCAGTGCAGCACTGGGGAGGAAGCTAGAACCATGCAAACTTGGCTTCCAAGTTAAGGACGCACAGCAGCTTGCTTTGGGACTAGCTTATTATCTGTAATGTTGTTTTATACAGCATAAATACACCCTGCAGATCACTTTTGGTCTGAAAATTTTGTGTACTAGCTGAACTGGCCAAAAATCTGGGTGCTGTTAACAGTCAAAGATAGCTCATGCACCTCCAAAGCAGAAGGGCTGGAATGCTGTTTTGTAAGACTCTGAATAACAAATTAATGACAGTAGGCTCACCCAGAAACTGGATCTGCAATGTATGAGAAGGATCAGAAACTGAGAGGGATGAAAGAAAAATAAGGGCAAGCACATTTTCCTTTTAACATGTGTTATAGCAAAAAGCTGCTCTAGATGATGACAGTCTAACTTCATACAGTCTCTGCTCTGCCTGGCCTGGAGTTTGGGTCTCTTCCTTGATCAAGACCAGCTGTATTTGTCACAGAACTTTACCTGATAAATAAACTCATGTGAAATGGAACTGCTCCAGTGGAAGAAGCTGGGGCAAGAGCTGGATGTGCATCATGGTGTGTGTGCAGGGTATGTATGGACAGGAGCACTCTCATAAGTACTGAGGAACTTGTATGTTATAGAGGGCAAAATTAGACCAGTTTCAGTGAATGCGGGCTTCTCCTGGCTTAGTGGGACATCACTTGTGCTCATGTGTATAAGTGAATTCCATTTTGTTCCATGTGCTCTGAAGTCTGAAAGCTGGGGATTTTTTTTTTTTTGGTGTTAAACAGCAAGATGTTATGTCCTCTCCTAGTGGACTGTGTTTGAGATCAGCTCTATTTTGTCAGTATGAATGCAGCTGCTTGAGAGAAGTTTGCTACATGCTGTTCAAGTAGTGCTGGGTACACTGATTTCTGTCTTTATACCTCTTTTTTAAAAAAAAAAAAAAAAAAAAAAAAAGCTTTTAAACTTGGTACAGTTTTTCTGGCAAAGATCTTTCAAACTTCAGAGACCTAAAGCTTAATAAGGTGAATATGTGGAATAGGATTTGGGGTACTTTTCTGGTTTATTTAAACAGTATTGAAATGTTTGTATATACAAGGTTTTTACGTCGTGATAGGTAGAGCACAGCAGAGTTTTGGCTTTTGAGTCGGATTTCCCAGTGCCTTAAATACTATTGCAATAAAAGTTATCCTGGAAATACTGGTCAGCTGCAGGGTTTACCGTTTATGATTTACTTCATATGGCCTGTTTTGTCTGCTTAATATGGTCATGTCACAAGTTTCATCACTTCAACTCTCAGTTCCCAGGTTTTGTTAGTGCATGCTTGTGGATGACTACCTCATTAGACTATTTCCATTGATTACTGGATAGCAAGTTCTCAGTTAAGTAGAACACACTGTACAATAATTAATTAACTCTGACCTTATTTTTCTGTCTGTTGAGATTTCGAGCTGTAGTTCAGTGTCTGCATTAATGGTTGGAGGGAAAAATGTCCTGGTGTAATGATTTCTCTGTAGTGTTGACATTTAGTACTGAACACTTGCAAAATATTTTATGCTAATATAGTCATATAGCCTATCAAATGTGAACTGTGAAACAATAATACAGACTAGGACATGCTTTGGATTTCTCTTCCTGTTGGTTATGATACACAGAATGATCTCTTGCATGAATAGAATCACTCAAAGCCTATCAAAAAACTGAAGATAATTTATAATGAAAGGCAGTGTATATATTAAAAATGATAATGCTACTACTCCATAATTACATGATTCTAAAAAGTGGAATTGGACGAGGTCATGTAGGAAACACACATTAGCAAGTAGGAAACATGATTTGCTTGTTTCCTTAGGGAGGCTTCGAAACTGCCCCATGGTGGCTGAGTGTACTAATGCTGTCCGAGAGCTTTAATGGAAAAGAGAATTCTCAATTAGCGCTGTTTGGGTTGTGTTTAATTTCTGAGCTACTGGCCTTGTCTGGAGGCTGAACGTTGGGTTGCACAAACGATTGCTTATGATTGTTGGAACTAGTGCAAACTGCTTGCAGAACACTCGGGGGTTGGAAGGCTGGGAAGTGTATGCAGCTGGAGGTGGTGGCCTCTCTATTTAAGCAGTTATTCTGCCTGCAATGCAGATGTAAACAAAACATGGCATTTAGAGCATACAGTACAGTCAGGGATGTCTATAGTACCGCTCTTACGCAGCAGCAGGGTGTTTTAGAGGATAAGATTTTCTTCCAAGCATGCTAATCCCCAGAACAAAGGATTCGGTCAGGTGTTTGCCTTATAGAGTAACTGCCACATTAATAAGAAGAAATAGAAGAATAACAAGTATTCAGAGAGTAACAAATATTCAGAGAATCCACAGCTGAATGAGAGTATGGGAGCTGTTCAGCCTTCATGCAAGTTCTGAATTTGTCCAGAGCCTGTTTGAAACGCTGAAAAGAATTTTGCTATGAAATGCCTAAAACTGGAAAGATCTCTCCTGACTTGGTTAGAACAGAAATGACCTTGTAACTAGATGTCTTGCAAAGGAAAGCAGGGAAACCTTCATGTTCTGGATGTGCTATTATGTAAAAGCAGCTGGTTGAAAATAGCCTTTTAAAGGGTCAGAGCAGCAGTAAAGTGCATCAGTACTGCTGTGTGGCTGTCCTGACAGGGTTCCCTGAGAACTGGTACTGTTGGTCCATTGCTTTTGCAGTCCATCAAAAGGCAGCACATCAGACTACCAACTGTAACACCATCTGTCTGCAAGAAAGAGTCAGGAAAGCAAACCTTAAAATGAAAACAAATGAGACTGTAGCTGCTGAATTTCATACCTTAGAAACATTGTCAGTACCTACCTTACATATATCGACATATTTAGAAATAGTTGTGTATCTGTGAATAACAGTTCTCTGGGAGATGCATCTAGGAAGTTCAGGAGAAGGAGAAAAAAGCAAATCAAGTCTGAAATAATGACACAGGCTGTATTTTGTGTAGTTACATGATGACACTGCCAGTATGCCTCTGGCAGTTCTCAGGGTCATGCTCTGTAATAGCTGAGGGGCGATGAGGAAACTCCAGCGAGAGTATGTCAGTGAGCTGGCTTAGGGCAAAGGAGTAGGCAATGAGAAATGAATGACTTGCAGAACAAATCTAAGCTTGGATAGAAGCTCTTTATGATGGTGTTTGCAAGTGGAAACTTGGAAAAGTATGTTAAAGGTGGGAAAGCATCCACACTAAAAGCAAGCATAAATCATCAAACAAACTCATATTAAAGTACCTGCTACTTACTGCTCCTGAATTATCTTTGTTATATACTATTGAAGCAGTGCTATGGTTAATGGTATCAAAAAAGGACTGGAATGCTTGCAGGTTAACTTGCAGCATGAAAATACAGGCTATATATGGACAAAGGGAGCTAAAACATAGATGAACACGTTGTCATAGCAGTCGCAGCCCATTTTCAAAATGGGGACTGCAAAAAATTCAAGAATGAACTAAGACAAGTGCTAGCAAGTGCTCATGTGTAGTTGAAATCAATAGAACTTCTCATGTAAGCAGGTATTTGCTGAAGCAAAAGGGGAAGTTTCAACATAGCTCTGGAAGTGAAAGGTGGGTCAGTTGCAGAGTAGGAAGAATAAAGTAGAAATGTACGAAGAAATATATTTGTGCTTTTCTGTGCCTTTTGTTTTCTTTTCTCCAGTATAAAGCAGCTTGACAGGTATGGTCAGCTGACCCTCACAAACTCCACTGCAGCAGACACAGGTGAATATAGCTGCTGGCTTCAGCTGTGCAATGGTAACAAATGCAGGAAGGATGAGACTAAAACAGGCTCAACATACATCTTTTTCACAGGTAATTAACTCACTGGGGGATTATTAATGGAAATATATTTGCTAGTAAGACAGGAATAAAGCTACATCAGTGATTTCACTGTCAGGATTTTTCTTCCACAGTTCTAGTGGCTGTTAAGGAAGACAGTGCTGGTGAGCAGAAAATTACTTGCTTAGTGTGATTAATGAGTCCATTTTCCCGATGGATTACACTAAATGTGTACCCAAAATAATGTATAATGCAATGGAAAGCAAATACTTTGGAAATACTAACACGTTCTGAGGATCTTCTACAAAATGAATTGAATTCAAAAATGCTTAATTTTTGAAAATGTGTTTGGATAAAGAAAATAAATCTGTGCAGATGATTAATCTTGTCACAGCATTCAGATGACCACATGGACTCTTCCCGCTCTCCCCCTGCTTCCAGTTACCTGCAGTGACTTAAAAATCTTGACCTCACTGATCTTGGTAAGGTCACGGTTTCTCCCAAGAGTCTATGTAGCATGTTGCGAGGCAAAACACTCTTATGTATGTTGTCCCACGGAGCTTGAGGTTGACTGTAGCCCTAACCCCGCATGGATAGGGTCGTAGTGGGTACCTGTGCAGAGTTTACTGCTATGTGGTACATCAGAGCTGTAATCAAATTGTTCACTTGTCCTTCTCAAGGAGAACATTCTGAATGGTAAAGCAACCTTCGCTGCCTGATCAGAGCAAAGCCATTCTTAGCTAGCAAATATTTTAGTACAAAATCCTGAGCTAGGATTGTTTGTGATATGTTTTGGAGCTAAATTAGACCATGAGACTCTGCAGAAGCCATTGATGAGAAGTGCTTAATGTTCTGAGGATACGTTCCTTTAGAAAGGCTGGAATGAACTTTCCAGTCAAGTTGTTACATAAATGCTTGTGCTAGAAAGAGGAATTTCAGCTTTATATTTCTAAGCAGCCTGCCAAATATGGAATACTCTAACTTTCATTCCAAAAGCACTATTTCAGCTACTTTGAGAAATAAATCAAACATTTGCCTACAATTGTATGCATGAAAAGGCTGTAGCTCCAAAGAACATCTCTTTCTATTAGCGCTTATCTTACCAGTGGTGTTTTTATGTGTGTTATCCTTTAAAAGTGGGTGAGTGAGCAGAATTAGATCCAGATGAGTATTTGGAAACTTATTGAAAAAGAATTCCAAAGATTTTCTTAAGTTTAAAAAAATCTGATTACAGTGAAGAATACTTCACTTTTTTTCTTGATTTAATGTTTTTAATGCAAGCTATGTAAATATATACTCAAAGGTTAGAAAAGTTGCTGTTTTTTTCTTGTGTGTGTGCGCATATTTAAAGCAAAAAGCATCAGGTAATTTTTAATGTAACTTATAGCTATTTTGACTTGTTATATGCACTTTCTCTTCTTTCTGTTAAACCAAGATGTAGATATTATTCTAACTGTATCAACTCTTCTGCACAGATAAAGAGGAACTTTTTGTACCTACTCCCAGTTATTTTGAGATTGTATACCTGAACCCAGATAAACCTGCAGTCATCCCATGTCGTGTTACTACTCCTTCAGCAAAAGTAACTCTACACAGGGAATTTCCAGCAGAAGAAATTGAAACAGATGGAACTGATATTGTTTATGATGTGAAGAAGGGTTTTGTCTACCAACACCCTACTTCTGATCATAAGGGTATTGTCTACTGCAAAGCCGAGTCGCAGGGAGCACCTCAGATTTCCATCAAGTATCACCTACTGTATGTGGAAGGTAAGGTGCAGTTTTCTGTATGCTTACACTGACATTCTACTGGCACCATTTAGAAAGCAATTTTAAAAAAAATCAAGTAGTGTAATCACAGAATTTTAAAATCTTGATTAGAAGTATGTGTGATAAAACTGTAGCTTTAAATTCCAGCAGTTTCCCAGTTGTAGAGGGGAGAGCTGCAGGTGTACATCACTTACCTGTTGCAATAAGCAAGCAGAGGTGAAAACTGACTTTGAAGTTTTATCAGTGTATTTAACTTCAGAAACTAGTTTTCTGCTTCCAAACATGTCTTTCTTTCAGTTCCCAAGGGCCCGCCCTCAACCACGATTTCGGCATCATCCAATAGAGCAGACGTCAGTGACAGTGTTCATGTAATCTGCACCGTCCTTGGTGAGCCAGATGTAGATGTGAACTTCAGGTGGCAGTACCCAGGGCAAGAGGTAAGAGATGTATCCCCTGGGTGAAATGGTGTGTGCTTCATAAAGGCAACGTTTTCAATGCTAGTCAGTGTCTAGAGCTGGAGTAAAGATTCCTTCAGATTGTGGTGTCTGCCTCTTGCTAGCTTGGGCATGCTAAGCAGGAGGAGGCAGCACATTGCTTTTGAATCATAGAATAGTTAGGGTTGGAAAGGACCTTAAGATCATCTAGTTCCAACCCCCCTGCCATGAGCAGGGACACCACACACTAAACTATGTCGCCCAAGGCTCTGTCCAGCCTGGCCTTGAATTTCAGCTTGTCTTTTCCTGAGAGCCTTGAAGTAGCACAGGGACAAAGCTGGAGAGCTCTGCCCACGTTAGTAAAGATCAAGCTCAGCAAAGCTCACTCCTCCCTCACGTTTCCATTCCAGAGACACTTGGCCTCTGGCAGCATTTACAAAGAAAAGCCTCAGACAGGGTCAGAGCCAGCCAGCGTCAGGAAGCTATTCTAGAGCAAGCCATAAATCCTCACTGATGCCTCTGCGTTTGATATACCTTCCATCTCTGGCTCAGGCACATGAATCATCACAGCACAGAATCTTTTAAGCTTAATTGCTTCCCACATCCAGAAGCACAGAAATCTGCTTCTGCCCAGCCTCATCTTAAAGAACCCTCTGGAAACATCCAGTGAATCTTAAAACTTTGGTCCTTTTTCTTGCACAGAAGGTGTATCTGACTGGCATCTTTAGGTGTATCTGACTGGCTTCATTGGTGATCCGCTCTCTTCTCCCTCTATCCGCCCTGACCACTTGCAGTAGGGACTTGTTTCTTAACCAGCCTCATTCTGCTGCTGTTTATCTTAAGCAGTCCAGGAGCAAAGGAAGGACTGCTGGAAGATGGAACCCTTCACCAGAAGAAAGGGGTCCTCTAAGACCTGAGGGTTTGCATTATATTCCACTTACCAGCCTTCCTGGTGCTGAGTTATCAAGGGACCATGCAGAACTTGCTAAGGAGGTCCTTGTATCAGCACTGGTGTTCCTGTGAGGCAGCAAAGAATTAAGTAGTTTAACAGCAGAGGTAACTGCTTAAGTGAGTGGTTGGAGTAAAGTGCTTATTAGGCTTGAGAAAATTCAAATCTAAAGCCCCAGATATTTGATGTAGCTGTTAAGATGGAGACTGTAGCACTGATTGAATATGAACAGCTAAACGCATGCAGTGTGCAGTGCAGGGCACAGGTACTGTGCTCAGAGGACTATACTCTCCCACTGCCCATCTCCCACCTATAGTGGCTGAGAGAGAGACTCTGGCCTGTGACCTGCCTCTGCCCTGGGAAGGACTGATCTGCTTATCCATTGGAGTGAACAGTCTCGGCTCCAGCTGTGCCTGGGGATAGGGAGGGATGAGTTGTGTTTGGGCTTCTGCCCCGTTTCTGCAAAATGATTAAGTAAATGGCAGAGTAGAAGCACTGTAAGCGTGTTGGAGACTTAACATTTATCAAGGAACTGGTCACATACAGCAAAGGTAGGGTTGGAGGGAGAAGAGAGAGAAGACCACCAGTTGTGCTGGTCAGATAGGCGTTCTTTTGCGCAAGGAAAGAGACTGGCAAAGTTCTGAGATTTGCTGGATGTTTCCTTTCATCGTGGCTGCTTTCAGTGCAGGGAGCTCAGTGATAGTTTTTGTTCCCCAGCACCTGGGCTGTCACCTACCACTTGATCCGTGAGCAGAAGCAGCACTTTAATCTCTGCTTGCTCCTAGGTACATTACATTGGAGAGACCCCTGTCTTGTCTCTGTAGTCTCTAACCTCTCCCTTGTACACTTTTTTTTCCCTTGCCACTCCCTGACAGTTGCTTGTTGCCCTGCTATGAAAGCTTACTGCTGCATACCAATCCACTTCCTTAATACCATTCCCTGAAACTAGCTTCAAAGCAGAAGGCAATTAGTTTGAGAAAAACTGGGCTAGCAAGAGCCCAACCTGGCAAATAGCATCTGCCTTATATGGCCTCTATCTTCACTTTCGCTAGGGTCAGGGAAGTTCCACTTGCTTTGTCTAAGAACTAACTTAGGCTTGAATTATGTGTGCGGTAGCACTTGATTTTCTGGCTGGGAACAGGTTAGTGCTCTGCTAGGTAGAGCTCTGCTGAGTGTTTTGTGTTCTTCTAAAGGGTTAAGAATTTCTGGGTGAGATAATCATTGTTATCAAAAGAAGTTCTTGCTTTGCTGTGTGTGCCACTTCTTAGGCATCCCCTGAGCTTCACAAAGACTGGCAGCTTCTCCTGGACTGGCCATTTTGCAAGTGTGAGATTGTCGCTCTGGCACTAGATAAGTGTCTAGTTTACCCTTTTGCTACTATTAGCTTAAGCCTTGTAGCATTGGTATTGGTAAACAGCTAAACCATCTATTTCATGAAGCAAGAGGAGATGGTTTCCCAGCAGAAGGCGCTCTCACCACTTTTATCCAGGTTACTGATTGAAGCTGCTGACTAGCATGATGGAGTCTGGAAGAAAGACTGTCTCATTTTATCTTTGGGCCAGTTTTTCTCATGCAGGCCTTTGCAAATTTGTGAGGTGCCAGGGAGTGTGACCTGATAAAACAGTTCATCAGAGAATTCCCTTTTAGAAGGGGGTGGAGGGAGTGGGGGAGTACCAGTTATATGTAACACTACTACAATATAAAAAACGTCTTTCTAAGCATCCTTATTTGTATTTTTGGCTTTGAACTTACACATTCTTGAAAGCATAATGTGAGGATTCATTTAGAAGGATTTGCCAATGGTTACTGTTTGCTTGTATGTTACCTAATACAGTGTTTCTGAAACTGGAGGTGGAGGAATTAGTCTGCAACACATGATTTAAAGCTATTATCTGTGCTAAAAGAGAACTAGGTAAAGCTTGGTCAACTGATGCTGCTGCTGTCTTCCTTTTTGAGACATGCTAAAATTCAGTCTGAAAATAAGCTCACACTTATTTCTTTCCTGATGTCTCCCCCAGGATACCTTGCCCATTTGGTCAAGTACCCAAAGGCAGCCCTAGTAAGTAAGTGGCCTACAATGGCAACCAAGTCCATTTATATTCTCCAGGCAGAGCTTTGGCAGGCCATTGCTAATCTAAAGATACACAGTATCTGCACCTGAGTGGAACAGCCCTTGTATTTAGCCTTATTTGGTGTAACTTAGTAGTAGGTAAATATTTAATGCAGGAATGTTGCTGCAAGTGCCTTCAAGTTTCCTCACTTAAAGCTGACTTTTGGGTATAGGCTTCTGCTATCATCTCTTGGTTCAGGGTTTTGATAAGTGTCACTAAACGTACTTTGCAGAATCATGTATTTTCTTAAGTGGTTGGTTGTTTTTGTTTGTTTTTCTTTTGAACAGTCAGAGAGGCCTGTGATTATCCAAAACTTCTGGAGATTGATAAACAGAGGAATTGGACATACCACAAGAATCTCAAAGAGCATTCTTCTTGTTGAGGGTTTTGAAGCCAGAGATGCTGGAAACTACATTTGTATAGCTCAGAACCTACAAGGAGAAACAACAGTAGCTACTAAAGTTGAACTAAATTGATCGGAAGGGCTTCTGGACATGGAATGAACTGTATGTTATTTGACATTATAGCCATTCATTTTCTTTACTAATGTTTAAATGACAGTTTTCTCTATCCCTGTCTTTTTTTCATGCGTTGTCAATGCATTCCATATTCAGTAGCTTGACAGGCCAAAACTGAGTTTCCTATGTCCAGCAGTAGTGAGTTAATATAACTACTGTGAAGCATTAAAGTTTAAGCCTGAACATGCATAGGGCTTTTACTATATTTAGGAGTAGGCGTTCTTGGGCTTTCCTTTGCATACGGTCTTTTTCTCTTCAAACTCTTTCCTAATGTTAACCTGCTGTATGGTTTGTGCCTTTTTTGTTTATGTGAGAACTGAGAGGATATTAAATATCCTCAAAAACTCACCAAGCAGGTCTAGCTCTTCTGGTGCTGTGCAATTTTACAGTTGAGTACTGTACATGTTTAAAACAACACCAACAACCACAAAAAACCCAAACAAAAAACACCTCTTCTTATAGAATTAGCCAATAAGCAAATGATTATTTTGCAAGATTAATTAAATTTCTGAATATTGTGAAAATGTACATGTGTGTGTGTTTGCATTTCATATATGTATAAAGACAAACACACAGAATTCTCATTCTTGGGGAAGATTAATACCAAATACATATTAAGGTGCTGGAAGGCGCTTCTAGAGACTTGTAAGAAGTTGGCTATGTCGGATTTTTCTTATGTTGTTGCATTCTTACAACCTCACACTATGTAGCTTACTAAGAGTTCACTCCTCAGTAGATGTATGGTGTTATGCTTACTAATCATGTAACAGCGTGTTTGCTAAAGGAAAAAATTGCATTTATTTATGTAGTATCATATACAGAAAAAACCCCAACAACCAACAAATACAACATTAGAATAATGTTTGATTACACAGCAGAATCTCTTCTCAGGTTAATAACAAGTGTAACTTGATTGTATTAATTTACTTAGAAAACTGATGTTTCGTAGGAAAAACCTGATGTTTCTTAGGAAAAAAAAAAAAAAAAAGATGTTTCATTTACACAGAACTACATCTGGATAAATAAGCAACTGCTGCTCTCATCCTGGGTTTAGTTACCAATGCAGTGAAAGAGACATTCCAGAGAAGAGGAAAGAACCTGGTAACACCTAGTTTTGGCAATGTTTTTTTTTTTTTCTTCCTAGCCTCAAGTATGGAATCCGTGTAAGCTACAGCTTCCAATACAATCAAATCAGTAACTGATTTCCTTTAACATAGCTAAACAAATGGGAGATGTGTCACCTGTTCAGGCTGGTTCAACAGCAGAGCAGATCATGGGGTAGCATCACTTCCTTGGTGACAGTTTAGCAGGAGAGGAAAAGCTGATGCAAATGCATTGTTGCATCATTGCTTGAGTAGTGACCCTTGGGTGCAATGGTTATGTGTACCAATGACAACCAAGTCTCAAGACTGATTACAGGTACAGAAGCAATGCCTTTAAGGAAGAATTTTTGGTGTTTGGTTTCCCCCACTGCAAACATCAAAATAATGTTCATAATTGTAAACACTGAAAATTAGTTTACTGTGTGTTTTACATAGTTCTTATTTTACTAATAGCCTCCTGGGCAGGCCTCATTCTTTTTTTACGTTGATGCAATTACATATTTCCACATAAGTGAACCGTGACACAAGGGAAGAGAATGAAGCCTGAGAAATTAAATTTAAGTAAGTTGACTTGTCAAAGTCACATGCCTAGACCTGCCACTATTATTTCAACTTGCATCCCTTGGCCACCGCTCTGCTAAGGTAAGGTGCAGCAGCAATGGACAATTGGTATTTGTTTCTTAAGGGTTCAATGATTATTCCAACTTTTTGATGACCTCTAACTCCAGCTCAGCCCTCAATGATTTCCTGGCTGTCAGGCAACTGGAGTTTTAGAGATCAGTGGTTACTCACTGTCTAGAAGGAATTTCCTGCAAGTGTCTTTGGTGTTTGTAATGGGAAGCTTCAAGTCTTCAGTTAGCATAAGGAAATGATTTACCCCAAATTTAACTGCAAAACTCATAAAAAGAAAAGTACGGAAGTGAACTATATTATGAATAGTTTGAATAGCTAGAAATTATTTGGTACAGATATAAATGTAACTAACTTACTTTGAAATGTAGTATTACAGTGGTAACTACTAGTTATGGCTTAGTACCTGAAGATAACCACTTGTTTAATTGCTTGACTAGGACTAGACCTTTGGCATGTATTTATGGTAGCAGGTTTCTAGCTTTTCATTGAAGGAAACTTTATTCTAAAGAAATAATCAAGAAATGTGTACAAGTTACTGGATCAAACAAAGCCTTTGCTAACACATGGTATTCAAGTTAAAGCTTGACATATTAATACTCAAACAGAGAAAAATACTGAAGTGATGCTTACAGATGAACAGAATTATTTAATACTTTTGAACCAACAGGGCAAACACTAACCATGTATTTCTTCAGTCTGATTCCTGTATAAAAGGATTCTTCATTTCTTTGTCAGACCATTAAAGATTCTACTTGCCAAGAGGTTTAGAGGTGAAGAGGCTCACAGGTGAAGAGGCTCCTGTGTTGCGGAGGAAAACTATCAACAAATTACCAGTCTTGGTATTCTTTATCGTGACACACTTACTTACTTTTCTGTAGTAGTAAGCAGGATAAGCTTTCCTCTGCTGTTTCAGGAAGGGGCACAGTGTATTTGATCTTTGAACATTCATACACAATCTCCTTGCATGTTTCATTTGAGGCACTAACATTGCAACCAAGACAATAAAGATCTTACATATGGCTAGATAACCATTCTTGTGACAGGACCTGTTAGACTGCTGAACTCTATGTGGCTTCTCACATAAAAAAAATCAAGTCCTGTAGGATGTCTTTACCAGGCAGATGCACATTAGGTCCCTATATTAAGCCAACTGTACTCAAGTGTTTTATTATCACTTAATTCTGTAATGCTACCTGCATTGTCCTTTCTTTTATTTTTTTAACACCCAACTCAGTTTGAGTTACTAATAATCACAAGCAAGCTCTATGTAACTTCTGCCTACATTAGATTTGCAAGGTTAAATTTTTCTAAGGGTTAGCTGAACATTAATAATTTGTGCAGTGATGCTTCACTATTGGTGTTCCGCTGTGCTGAGCAGGTACTAAGAGTTGTTAGTACTTGGAGGAACGTTCCTCCTCCTTCCATTAAAAGATCCTGTGATTAACAGAAGCAGGAGAAAAACCTTTCAGTCGGTACAAAAGAATTTATTTAAGCATTCAGCTCAAATACATGTAATTAATCAGATCTCTTTGACCATAGAAGATAAGAATGTTCCAAGATAGATACACTTTAAGCCCAGTTGCAGCCCGCAGAGGATCTTCATAGTTAAATTTGAAACCCCTAGAAAACATTGTAAGTACTGACACCACTAACAAGTGGTATAGTGCCTTACAGAGGATTAAAAGACAGCATAATGTTCCATAGAAATGGTACCCTTAGCTTGCGCATTATGGAAAATTAAGTAAATTTAATGATTAAATAGTCAATCACAAGTTTAAGTATATTACAAGTTTTACTTACTGTATGAGCCCTGTTAACAACAGTCATCTTTATATCTTTGTGTTCTTCATTACTAGCCAAGATTTTTCAAGTCTTGGGCAGAACAGTTTGAAGTGGTTCTCCAGCTGAGTTACCCAAACACTTTCTGCCCCCTTCATTCCTGTCCCCAAGCTACTGAAAAAGAGGAAAACTCAGCAGATGCCATTTACCAGAACAGTTACTAGCAGAGCTGGCTAACAGCATTAGCTAGGCAGTCATGTACCAATGGGCCTGGAAGTGGTGCTGTAAACCCCAAGCTATTGCAAGCTTGTCAGATGCTGTTTTGTAATACTGATTTGAAGCTGAACCTGTGTTTAGTAGGTATAATGTAGACATCTTAAACAGGTCTGACTAAGGGTGTATCAAGGCTACGTGATTACCTTGTTGAAGCCGAGCACAATGACACTCAGCTTCCAGTTCCAGCAGCCAGGACAATTTTTTTTTCTCTGCTTCACAGAATCTCTTGTATAGGATCTTTTGCCACATGAACTGGCAACACACTGATATCCTGCAATCTAAAGGGAAGCTGTGGCAGAATTAGCAAGCTAAATACATGGCTATCACTTCCACCTTCTCCTCAGGTGAACTTAGCCAACCCTGAAGAATGTTAATATAAATGCTAATGCTTAAAAAGGCGAAGTGTGTTACCAGATATATTGGAACTCACAGATTACTTCAGATTCTTCTTGAGAACTGATATAAGAATACACCTAATGACAATTACTGCATTTTTCTCTTTGGCTTTCAAATCTCTATAATCTAGTTTATCCTCAGCAGTGGACATGCTGTTTTTCGGCAGGTACAGTTAAAGATCTAGGTTTCCACACCTGCAACTCAACTGGTAACTTCTGACCTTGAGGGCTACCATGGTTCTGACTATAACCCTGTGGCTTGAAAGCCAAAATCCACTGTATGCTGCAAAAAAAGGTCTCCTTGTAAATGGCAGAGTTGTGCATGGATATTAAACTGAGAATCCATGCAAACTATGGCTGCAGTTCAGTTTGGTTTTAAAATTAATTCAGAGTTGCATACTCAGGTCAGCCAAGACACTAATAAGTCAGTTGACAAAGCTTTTGAGGCCTTTTTCTTACTGACCCAAAGTCAGAAAGATAAAGGAAACTAACCTAAGGACTAGTGGCAGTTTCTCCTCATTCCCAGGTGAGGGACTCTCTGCTAAAAGCATGCATACTGACAACAGCGTTAAGGAAGTACACATCAATGTATAGTCTTCAGCTTTTATCCTTTATTACGTACACAGCAAAGAAGGCAGCATTAGACACACGCACAGTGTGTGACATCCATTCCACCCACAGCACACGCACGCACACACGCATACACACAGCCTTAAAAAAAGTGTCTGTGATAAGGAACGTATTATAAAGGTGGTGATCTTTATCTCTAAGCCCCTGAGCTTTTCCTTATAATTAGGTGAAAAGGCAATGAACAAGTCTTTCCTTGCTCTGTAAGTGCTTTGTGCAACAATGTCCATAGAGGTCATAAACAAGTCTTTTGGGAAGAGCAACATGAATGTCTTACTCCCATATTCTCAGTCTCTTACCACCACTTCTGCACCAAATAGTTTCCAGTTACGTTTAGTTGCCATATTTGGCTAATACAGCTCTTGTTCCTGTGACTGAAGTGAGGATTGGTTCCGTAGATCACAAATGAATTTCAATCCCCTCTTTCTCTCAAGAGATGTCATCTTGGTGATACAGTAGGACTAGAGAAGTTACCAGAATTCCGTGGGGACTGAAGAGGCACAGATGGAGAACTGGGAGACAGTTTTCTTGGGCTGCATAGGTCACCATTGTGCAACTTCCACAGCAGTTCTTCATTTTCCATTGACAGGCGCTTGTTCACTTTTGATTCTTTCTCTAGCGACTCCTGTAGAACAGCTTGCTCTGTAGAAAGTTGCCTGCAAACATAACATTTACATCAGAACACAGAACCCAAGTTGGAGGTTATGGTATTGAACTTAACTGCTAAAGAAAGGTTTGAAACTGCATAGACTCCTGCTTGGCTTACAACTACTTTATTTCCCTAAAAGGAGGATTTACCTTGTTCTCATCCTTGCTAGATTTAAATGGTAGCTTGCAGAAAGCAGGAGAAAATCCCAGTAAGAAACATCCCTGAAGGCCAGAAAAAGCATCTGAAAAGCAAGACTTGCCCTACTTGCAAGGACAGATGCTTTTAAATGGCCATCCTGGAACCTTCAGGTCTTGTTGCAGGCTCAGCTGTACCTAGAGGCTGCATTTCTGTAGATTCCTTCAAACTGGAAGAATTTGCCTATCCATTTAAGCAGTAGGTGAAGCTGGGAGAACACTGGACTCATTCATGTCAGATATTCCTATTATTGCTAATAAAACACAGCAGTCTTTTCACTGATCTAAACTGGGGACACATCACTCAACTGACATGGTTAAAAATAAAACAGGTTTAGCTCACAAGCCTGTAATGCTTAAAGAGCCAGTCCATGGTAAGATGATATTTTGAGTTGACTTTTCTTCCCCAAAATACTGTTTTGGGGCACTGAACAACACAGCGAGGCTTTAATCCCTCAAGATCTGTTCCTGCCTGTTCTACATAGGAATGCACATGTGCAAAGATACAAGTGGGGAAGAAAGGGATGTGTTCTTTTACAGAGTACCACAAAATCCCAGTCACTAATGAAACAGAATTTTCTCTCTGGTCACAGAAACACCTTCTCCTGGTTCATAACAACATCTGAAAGTTCACAGATATTTTTCACCTTGAAAGCTCCATGTGTTTGTCCATCCGAGCTTTTAATTCTTCATTTTCTTGCTGAACTTTCTTTAATTTATCCATTAGGATTGTGTTGTTCTCCAGCTTAGGAAAAAAGGTCACAGTTTAAAATAAAATTCATGCATACACTCATCAAGATAGTGACTGAGCTATCACAGACGTTCATAATCTGGAGTTTGCAGATCTTGTTACAGTAAGTGCAAAAGCCTGGAGTAACGTGAGGCAGACCTGCTATCGTGGCTTCATGTTCTGTAACAATCAAACAGATCCTGCATACCTGATCCTTGCATAACACTGGCATTTTGCCCCTTGTGCTGATCAGATGGCAGCAAAGGAGGGTTAGATGGAGGATATACTAGTTAACCAGCATGTTCTAGAAACCTTTGCCAGCAGCGGGCAGCAGTTTTAGAAGCTGCTGCAGGCAGAAGACTGTTGAGAACCCACGTGCTCATCTGACAAATTCAACAGCTCCCCTGTGGAAACAGCTCTCCTGGCTGCTCTGCTGATTCCACTTCATTGCTGCAGGATGTTATCAAAAGTAGAGGAGCAAATAGGGATTAAATGGTTGGACGGTCCAAGGATTTTATACTGTGACCAGCACCTATCAGAAAAGATGAAGGTTTACTAGTGATTTACCGGGAACTGTAGACCACGGCAACATATGATGCTGTACAATACCAAACAACTGACATGAACATATTCCTGCTTATCCAAAAGTCTTTCTGTACTTCTCCATTAAAATCCTGTTTAAGCAAGCATTATAGCAGTGTTCAACAGCCCTTTCCAGGGTAAGGACCCTGTCCTGCCACAAACTAGAGCATGCCACATAATTACATATTCTGCCCCCCAAATTGATTTTCATGTGGAATTATGCACGGATCAGGAGCAAATCCACACAGCCAAACAAATGGCTTAAAGATAACAGCTAAAATGATTGACCTTAATGAAGCTAATTAACTCTAGGTGAAAACATTCAATTTCATATTTGACCTCTTCTTCTTTACTGAGGATCATTTCCATGTTAATGTTTTCCTGACAGTGCAATCCATCTTCCATAGCACTCAAGCAAACATAGTAGGTAAGTATTTTTTTCCCTAGGGGTTGAAGGAGAAGAGAAGGAAGAGGAAAGGAGATGTGGAAGAGGCTCCCAGATAACCCTGGACTAAACCTAGCAATAGTTTATGCAAACCAGTAGTTGTTTTAAGAGTCTAAAAGGTCGTTCACAACATCTGGTGATTCCTTCCCCCTCTTCATCCTACAGCCCGACGCAGATGTAATTGAACAACATGCAGTGTGAACATGTCCCATCATTGTTTCATGTTTCCTTTTAAACAAAGGAATTGATGCTTGTGCATAAGCCTGACCAACCCGAGTTCATTATCAAACACAACTCAGACATGGTAACCCAAGGAAAACTCACCAGCTTCTCCATCTTCATTAGCTTTATATCCTGCTGGTGGAGTTTCTCATTCTTGATCTCCAGCACTGCTTTCAGACTCTCCAGCTCCTGTTCCAGGTACATAATCTGCGGGTTTTTCTGAAAGGTTTACACAGAGTTTGCTTAGTACCCTGGATTTTAGGAACAATTTAAGTGTTTCACTGCTATTTAGAAAGAGCAAGAAAATAAATACAGTAACAACAGTTACTTTTTCCAAGCAAGTTTAGAATAAAAAAGGTCTGGTATCACTTTCTCCTCTGATTTTGCGTCCCTCAGTGTAGGTAGACGGTTGCAGTTCTCCTTAGGTGCTGTTCAGAGAACACTTCATGCACAAACATGGAAACCTTTGTAAGTCAAAGCCAGGCACTAAAGCTGTCACAGCAAAACTTGTTCTGCAGGAGTGCCCCAAGGCTCCCTTTAAGGCTAGGAGTTCCAAAATCTATTTCATATTACTCATAACCCATCCCAAGAAGTAATTACAAATAAACATTTGAAGAGTTTTCAGACACTGGAATAGTTCAAAAAGCACCAGAAATTGAGAGCTGTGGACCTGACTGCATCTGATTTTCCCTGGTTTGAGTCTGAAGGTCACTGGTTCATAAGTGGAAATTGAAAATTCTTGGGTTTACATTCTTCTTAAAGCCCAGCAATGCAATCGCCCTGCTGTACATCCATGTACTCCACAGTACAGAAACTTAGGGCTATTTCCACTATGTTTTGTTGTTTTCTGAGAGGAGGAGGGGGACAGGACAGGGTCAGATCTGGTTTCCTCAAGGACCTCTTCTCCAGACTAAGGACCCATTCAAACACTGCAGAGTAAACAACATTCTCTGCATGTCAAAGGCAAAGTCACAGGCAAAAATTAGGAAATTGAGAGAAATAAAGCAAGTGTCAGTCCCTTTCCAGGTAGTGGAACACAAAGAAATTAACCGGTGATTAAGTGTGTTGTGTAACTGAGTTTATCTTTAAAAACAAACAGAACTTGTTTCAGCATATTTGGGTAAGAATATTGGTGTACCACGTTGAGTAACAGCTTCACTGCTGTGTCAGAAACCCAAGGCTGGGAGGGCAATGCCTGCTGTTTTGTGGGGCACAGTCCCACCAGGACAGGGCCAGCACCTCTCGCAGGTAACAAGGCCTCATCACCTACACACTTCATTCCCCTGCCTGTTTTTGAGGACTGTAGCATTAGTGATTCTTGTTGAATTCCTGCTTCTGAACAGAAGTGTGGGTGAGGGTGGGGTGTGTGGTGCTGCCCTGGAGGAAGAAGCAGACAACTTGTTCTTTCCTCCCTTTTGTGGCTTTATAGGGAATCTAGAAGCTGGCAAAAAAGAAAAAAAAGATCCTGAGAAGTTTAAATGCAGCTTACAGTATGTTCTAAAGTTATTGTTTTCTTTCCTTTCTCTGCCCTAGTGGTCTTAAAATGTCTTTTTGAAGTTAAATCTGAGCCACCACATTAGCTACTCACAGTAGAACAGAGAGCCTGACAAAAAGACTGAAAGACCTACCTAAGATTTTAGCACAAAAGCTGGGAATATCCAGTGACACCAAGTAAGACTGGAGAGCTGGAAACACACCTCTGCCTTCCGAGGGCTAATGGCAATTCTGATAGTGCAGCATTTGTGTTTAGTACAGAAGAATACTGGGTCAAACTGGTATTCTTCCATAGAAAAGCCTCAAGCTTATGATGCCATCAGGAGGCCACGTGCATTTGCAGCTATGTGAAGGCTATTGCTCCTTTAATTAAACACCTGAGCATGCGTAGGGAATACAGTTCAAACTCTCAAACGCAGCGTACAACAGGGTCTCTTTGGTATCATCTTGCCCAACTACAGCAACATAACATGGTTGGAGATTCTTCCTGCAGCAGCTCTATCCTGCTGCTAGAGTAAGCCGTTAGAGAGAAAAATACAAATTCCAGAGAAAACTAGGGCAACTTCTACTAGAGGCATTCCAAGTGAGGTTTTATGCATGGAATTTCTCTTGGTGGGATAAGCAACACTACTGGTATTCCAGTTACTTCCAGGTAACTAGAAAGATAACCATTTTTGTGTCTAACTCTCCCAGTGCATGAGAAAGCTCGCTCAGAGCATGCTGCAAACTCAGAAGTGTCACAGAAAACAGCAGCCTTGGGATGAAAGGCAGGACAAAATGAAAGTTTACCTGAAGGATAAGTCAGCAATAAACCAATGTTTGAATAAATGCATTAAAGACTCAAGCACAAGAGGTGAGTTTTGCCATAGTGATATAAACCCCCACACTGGCACAGCACTGTTAGAACATTTAATGACTGCCCAGAAGACAGCTATGGTTCTGTGTGCGTGTAGGTCTTCAATTTAACTTGGGCTATAACTTACACCACTGACCAACAGCTTCACAGATTTATAATGGTAAAGTTCATACCCAACATTGTAGTGCTTGAGAGAAACTTCTGGCAGGTGAGCCATCTACATAAAATGAAGTATGGGTGCCCCGGAAGTCTTGATTGCTAAACCTTTCACATGCAATCAAATAAACCCAAGCTTGCAAGATCTGCTCATCTGCATTACTTTTGAAGATCAAGACTTACAAGATTGGCTTTTTCTTTGGCTACTTGTTTTTGCTCTTCTAATTTCAACTTCTCACTCAGAGAGTCATTTTCACATTTCAATTCATCGATTTTCTTCTGAAATGAGAAGACAGGGTATAGTTAGGGCAAGAATTCGGTGCACATCTCCAAACTGCCTCTTCAGTTTCAGACTGTTGCAATGACCCCAACCCTTAACAAACCTCTAGTGATTCCTGCTTCTCCGTAAAGGAATCTTCAAGCGACTTCCTTTCAGATTCATGAGCACTCTTGAGCTCTGCAACAAATTAATTTTTGTGGATTTTTAATACCACATAAGACATGAAGATTCTTGTTGAAAAGCCAGCCAGTACACATATGCACAGATGCAGTCAGTGACAGCACAGAAAGAATATTTATCATCCACTCATCCAAAGCATGTACGAAGTATCAGATTTATTGCTGCTTCCCATTTGTTGATTGCCCCCTTTCGTATCTATTTCATTAGCTGACAGTGTGTCAATGCCAAAAGCATTCGGCTCCATGCATTCAGTAGGAGCCACATCTGACAAAAGCTGAGTTTCTGAAGGGAAACACCACAAAAGCTGAAAGTGCCTTCCTGCAAGCTTCTAGTAAAACATTTCCTTTCCCACTCCGGAGGTGCCACGCAGTGGAGCTGGCTCTTTGACTGCAGAGGAACCATCACCAGTTTTGATGATGCAAAAGTATTGCTGGAAACTTGGCTATCAGTGGAGTTGGAGGGAGGACGGAAAGCATCAATGAGATGCAATGCCGTTTAACACTGAGCACACTCACCACTCCCTCCCTGATAAACCACCTTTGCCCCAGTAGACTGTAAGCAGCGCGTAGTATTTCTCAACATTCCCAAGTCAGTCTGGAAAGCACACGACACTACTTACTCTCTATTTCAGTTCTGAGGTGCTCCTTATAGAACTTAGGGGGTGGGAGCAATTACTCATTAAGCTGAGATTTTGAGAGCAGACTGCAATTCAGACACCTATTACTGAAAGAAAAAGTCATCTCCGCTCTTAAACAGCTTTCAAAGTTTCATTCATCTAAAGCAGGGTCATGGTTATTTCTGTGTGTAAAATGAGACTTGCTGAGTTCCAAATGAAGGAATTCAGCCAGGGTTTTTAAAGGTAGCTGACTGCCAAGAACAATGTAGTGGACACATTGATGGAAAAGCCTGAATATTTCTGTTTGTGACTAGCAGTACTAAAGCATATATATTTGAATGCAAAATACTTGCCTGAGAAAGAGGTTTCATACTCCTTTTTCAGCTCCTCTACTTTTTCCGAGTGGCTCTTTTCAAGTTCCAGCTTAAAGTTTTCATGTGTGATATTTAAATTGTCCACCTGCAACATGACAACATGATTTTTTCCGCTTACATGTGTCAACTTAAGCCTCATTTCAAGTATTGTTCCTAAGACTTTTGCAGTACGTTGAGTGCATTTTAAATGGTCTAGGAAGCACTTAACAGATGTTCACAGGAGAAGCTAAGCCACATACAACACTTAATCGATAAGAACAATATCTTAGTTTACCACTACCAACAGGTTGATGTATGCATCTGTTGCACACATGGAGTTGTAGCAAAGGAAGCTCCAAGCCAGGTGCGTTTCTGTAAGTCTTAAAACTCAAGCTGCCTCAAATATCTAGTGGAGGTCTGTAAGTCACTGAGGTTTGCAGAACACAAGGAATCTCCACCACGTTTAAACACAAGCGTAAGATCCGGACAGCTTAGTGCAGTAATACAGTCATAGTTGCAACAAAGTGGAGTTTCACATTAGATTAAAAATAACTCCATTATTGGCAAACCCACCATTCTGTGAAGGCTCCCGTATAGCAGAAAGCAATTGCTAGGGGACACTTCTACTTCGAAGGTTACAAACCTGCTCCTGGAGTTGCGCTTTGTACTTTTCAGCTTCTTCAATGCATATACTTTGGAGTTTCTCGCATTCTGCGGTGTAAAACTGCTTAAGCCTCTCCTCCAGCTCAGCCAAATCATTGTGATGTTGCTCGTTTAACTTCTGCAGAAACCCTTCATAAGCAACTTGCAGTTCATTCCTGTCTCTTTCCAATTTCTCACAAGCTGCAGAAGTGGTTACTAAAGATGTCAAAAAAGAAAAAAGCAATTGGATCAAATTCAATGCGATGCAAGTATTAAGGGTAGTGAACACTGCACAGCAACATGGTTATACATAGGCAAACATAATTTATCCATGAAATCAGTGCCTCCTCCAAGGACACATGGAAAGATCTTTGCAAAAATACTGAATTCAGTGTTTCTTATGCTGAAAATTAATTGAATCTAGTTAAGCCAGGAACTCGTACAGAAAGCACAAGTGTGACAGTTTGTTATGACAAAAAGGAATGAATGTCTCAAGAGACACTGGAGTGCTCCAGTAAAAATTTAATTGGATTTGCTACTTCACCTAATTTGATCCCATTTCAGAAGCATATTTATCAGAGTACTTCACTTTTTGATATATAAACCACTTAGCTAGATTTGAAAGTCTTAATGTCCTGAAGACCATCCACTCAACATGTTACACTCAGACACGTGGCAGAGAAGCAATTCTAGCCTGACCTGGGCTGCCCAATACAGAACTGCCGATCTGAAACATGCTAACAGGCATGTACCTGAGAGATTTAAATATGTGAGAGACAGAACAGTTTCAGGCAGTAAGTGAAAGAGTATCAAGAGAAAGAAATGCTGCGTAATTCTCTTCACATTTATATTAACACTGGCCAGTTAAGACGACTGCCTAGGTTTGTCCCCACAGATCTGCACCTGATTACAAGACAGAACTTAAGTTAGTAACTTGTACTTTCAAGTTTGAAATGTAGCATTCCCAACTCCAGCCAGACAGGCCCAAGTAGGAGGAGTCACTTTCCTATTGTTAATAGGACTGGAGCAAGCGCCTCATGCAGTTCCAGCTGCACCCAAAGCCTGGAAGCAAGGTGGAGCGGGACCTCCAACACGAGTGTGGGGTCACTGAGCTTAAGCAAAACTGCTTCTATATAAACTGTAGTGCCTGGGTTGAAAATAAGTTAGTCTGATGAGTGTCTGCTTGAAGAGAAAAATCAACTAAAACGTTAACTTGATCTTCAGTCAAATAGGGGACAAGTCATGCGTACGTGCCCTTTATAGCAACTTGGCACAATGCCTTAACAGTCCGAATATGAACTCTGTGTAAAAGCATGGGAAGATTCAAGGATTTTGGTACAGGCGGTACAGTAAGTTCTTGTTACAGCTACGTCTGAACCTTAACACACATAAATCACAGTGTCTTCAAGGACCAATTCCCGGAGCAGCACTGGGCTCTGCTCTAGGGAAAGCAGCCTGCCACTGCAGAGCGCCTCAAGTTACACACGTGTTGGATTCCTTCTTTGCTACAGCTCATTAAGTGCAAGTAACTTGATGAATGATACCAGCACTCTCTTTTAAGGGAACTTAAATAAGTCTTGGCCCTCCTGCCATCACTCAGAACCTGCAGTTGACCTAGAGAGTGTAAAAGCGTGAGCTGGACTGCAAGTGAATCAATCTGTGTGTGTGTGTCTACCTCGATCAGTTTTAACAGCAGGCTTAGCTCTGCACTAGGTCTGTGTGAGAGAGCTGCTGATCAGGGCAGATTTAAGCCAAGCTCCGCATCCCATGACTGGCAACAATGCAACTAAAGGCTCAATGAAAGGTACCACAACATTCTGTGCGAGCCAAGCAGATCTCACAGTTTTTATACTTCCTATACCACCACCAAGAAAGGGTTTTATTGCCTTGTCTTTACTCCTTCCACAAATGAGTAACTCCTGCCTTTGGGGGGAAAAAAAAAATTTAAAAAGTTAGCATCACTTTACCACATTGCAATGGCTTAAAGTTACTGAACCTATTGCTCCTCATTGTCACATTTTGGGGAAGAGGATACGTCATAGATAGGGGACATTATTTTACGATGCAAGGAACCAGGCAGTGAGCCAAACAGGTATTAAACAGTCAACCACATGCAGAATGCATCTGACCCTTACTTACTGAGCCAAGTAAGAGTAGTTTAGCTGAGAAGCAGGCAACTCATGCCTCATTTGTGATTAACTGTAGCACAATGCTTCAAGTGTTCCACTTTAAAACCAACAAAGGAAGAAGCAAGCATCCAATTCTTTCTTTGTAAAGCCAGAGCCATTCGTTTGCCTCCATTTAGCCAAAAGAATGTGCTGCCTATCATCTTATCTTCAAACATCAGCACATAGAACTTCAGATGATGCAAAACACTTCATGAAAAAGCAAATAGCAAACCACGCCTTTGTCAAAGAAAACAGACACATCAGTTCTCGTTCGGCCAGTTTGCAGTTCACATTCATGAGAACACTAATGTTACAAAGGCAAACAAAAACGTTAAAACTGGCACTGGTAGTTGCAGAATGTTGGGTTACCTTGAGGGTAACGCCTGGCCTCCACAGAGCTGGTGGCTCCAATGCTTCCTTGCGCATCGCATGCCTGACTTGAATCCCTGCCATCCACACAAGGAGCAGAACCTCTCTACCCAACCAGTGAGCCCCTTGTATTATGCTGGTGCAAGATACTGCACGTGTCAAGCTTCAGCAAAAGCACCCGCTGAAGAACTGTCAATTTGAAATCATGAGAAGTAAACCAAAGTTTGTCCCATAGTTGAGATTCAAGTGTCTGCAGCAAACACTTCACACAGCCCTGTGATTTTCCAGACCGTATCACGTATTTTAGGACTGTACCTTGCCTTAACAGAGGGACAAGCCATGAAAAAGACAACTAATTCCTTAGTTTGGCAAGCCATACACTGCAAGGAGATGCTGCAAAACTCCTGACTGATGAACCTCAATGGCTACTCAAGAGTTCTCATTGAACTGGTGCTTAATTCTGAATTAAAATCTGTAACTGGAACATGTGCTTTTCCAGCAGAACTCACAAAATCTCTGTTTCAACTTCAGAGACACTTGAAGGGCACGCTTCAGAGTTAGTGTACACAACTACTGTGCTTCCTTTCCCTTCTGAAAGTGCTTCCCTCAGCAATTCCACATCTATATTATGCCACGCATTAGAACAGACCACAGAACTTGAGCAAAAAAACCCGACAGGAGACAAGTGGTCCAAGAGCACTTGAGAGAAAAAATCAAGCCATAAAGATGAAGAGATGTGCCATCATTTATCCGTTAAGTTGTTCAGTCTCATCTGTAACACTAAAGAGTTTTAAGCTCTAAAGACAGAGCACATGCAATGGAGTACTTGGCAGCCATAAGAAAGATTTACTTCTTTATTCAAATCTCAAAGCCATTAATATTTTTCCCCCACTTGGTTGTCCCAGCCTCTCCTCCCAATCAGACAACACTGTCTCTCCCTGTATTATTACAACAGGGAGCAATATTAATTTGTGATTTTAAACTTCCTAACACCTGCTTATTCTAAACAAAGAGCCTGAGTCTTTGGGCAGAACCACAGCCTCTGGCCACCACAGGAAGTTTCTGAGATTTGGTAATAGTGTATCTTCAGATCAGAAATGCTGGTTTTGATGTGCAAAATGAACATTCATTTGTAGTAGTTGGCAGTGGCCACCTGCATCTTGGGCATTTCACTGCAAAGCTTTGTATGTGCCAAACCATAAAACCAAATGCCTGTGAAAGAGAACTGTGGAGAACCAGGCATGTGGCAACTCCCTGCAATTGTGCAAATGGCAGCAGATCCAAACCACATGAACAGTAGCACCAGCACAAGGAAAGGACTGCAACAGTTGCCTTAGTATCCCCAAGAAACCTAGTTCATATTTTCACTAGAGGTAACCAAGAAACAAGACCTTAACATGGTGCAGTACCTCCTTCTCACAATACTTACCTTTTTTCTTATTCTAGCTATAAAACATTCATCATCTAATTCAGTCCCTATGGCTAAACTGCTTACATAAAAACATTTTTCAACTGGAATGCCCTAAAGGTCACCATAACCATAGCTCTAGGAAGATAAACCATAATGGATCTTTTTTTCTTGAATCCTGAATTAAATTGTTTTGAAACAATAGCTATCTTCATAAAATGGCCTAGGTCCTTCACTGCTCTAGTTATGATTTATGAAAAGCCATCAGACTGACTGAGATTTTGAAATAGAGGTCACTAGAACAGTAAACGAGCAGCATTTTAATAGATGTGGGGGATGTGAAAAGGGGTAATTACCAGCAAACATCAAGTATTTAGCATGGTGTTACTTTATTGCTCTAACTTCGTTATTTCACACTGCAAGATCTATTGTGTATGCTCCATTGATCGCTAAGTCTACTGTAGACACAAAGGCTCATTTCCTTCTCCGTATTTTTTCTTTTAATTGTTATCTAGCAATTAATTGATGTTTTTGGCAGATTCTCAATACTGGAAATTCTTGACCAAAAAAGACTTCCAAGTTTATGACCAAGTTTCTCTTGGTGTTATTTTTATGAGACTAGCGCTACAGGATGTTAAGCCACATTTCGTGGTTTTGTTCTTGGCCAAGTTGAAAAGAGGCAGGTAGACCAAAAAAACATGCTGTAGGCTACACTGAAGCGGGTATGTTTGAATGCATGTGTGAAACATTCACACACCTGCCAGGAAGTAAGCTCCTATCCTCTAATGCTACAAACACTACAGTGCGAGCAGGCAGGCAAGTGTACGACTTGTGGCAAGTTAGGCCCTGCCTCAAATAATTGATAGAAATGTCCACCTTCTATTAGGTGTTTTTAGGGATCACCAAAACCTGAAAACCAAATCACACTCACTCCATTTGTCCCTAAACCACAACAGTCTCTTTTAACCCAACCTCCAAAACATTTTAAAGGTCATCTATTAATAAAAAATGTCATGAAGGTATTTTGAAGAAAATACTGCTTATGAATGGCAACACAGCAAATGTAGGGAAGGGAGAGGGGTCAGGCACCTGGCTGGCTGCACTGGGTACGCACAGTTCTCTCCAGCCCACTGGAAAAGGCTCACAAGTGGCAATTTTCAGAGCCAGCTTTGCACCTGCAGTTCCGTAGCAGCACTGAGCTGGATCACATCCAGCGTGGTTGCAAAGAGGCTCTCAAGCAATTTGGAGAACAACTAGTTTAGAGGAGTCATTCCATACCTCTCCAGAAACATGCAGCTCTTGCAATCTCTACTTACACAATTAAACAAGTAACCAGAAATGATTTACACACTAGCTTGCATCTTAATTACAAAGGGAAACAGGTGACAAACAGGGCATCTGTACCTGCTCCAGGCTCTCAGAACTAAGGCATTTACATTCAAACCGCACAGTCCTTGTGGCTGGAGGTTTTAAAGGAAACCCAAGATCAGAACCTGGCTGCTAATGAATCTGAACTCTGGAAAAGCCCATCCCCAAATCATTATCATTGCTAATCCTTGCACATGTTCCCAGCTGCTGACAGCAGAAAGCAGTGCCTGGTAACCATCCACCCAGCGCTCTGCACAGCCACACGGTCACTGCAAAGGGCAGATTCTGGGATCATAATGCATATTTAAATCATTAAACAAAAAGGTATTTTGGCAGAAACGGTCACTGAGAATAACCCAGCAAAACAGACACTGAGAGCAAGCCAGTTTGGTTTTGCAAGGTAAATCAAGGAGCTTCAGAAACCGAGGAGTCCAAACTGCGCAGGCTGCCAGCTGCAGGTGACTTCACATTCCTCTCAAACGCGGCAACCTGCAGGACAGACATTACACTAAGCTGGGCACACCTGGTTCCTCTTCCTACACTGCCTGTTCCCAAGCTGCAAACCATCAGGCATTAACAACACAGCAGTCGGGACCCCACGGAACATGTATGCATGTCTGCAGGGCCAAAATAAGCTTCTAAATGTACTTAACTTTCTGTGCAATCTATGCCTCAGTAATACTGTGAATCAAAATTCACAGTACTTCCATCAAGATACTCCATGGAAACCTTAAGTTCAGCTATATCCATTTAACAGTGGCAACAGAAAGCTGATTAGCAGGTGTGTATTTAAATAGATTATTTTTAGCTAAAGCTATCATTACAAGAATGCTTTTCCCACGCCTTGTCAACAAATGGGGTCTGGCTGCATGAATTTGTTTTGTTTTTTAACTTTAAAAACCCCAAAACATCTTTTTAAAGCAAGATAGAACTGAAGACCTGTATAGTCTTTAATTTCTGTGATTAAATCCACTCCCTTTACAGGCTCAGAAGTACAGACAGGCTAGACATGTGATGTGGTTAAGACAAAGGAGCTGCATGAAGATAAATGCTTCAGTGAAACCATGGTCTGGAAAGCTCACAAAGGGAAGTGAGCCCGAGGCTGCCATTCCGATGATCCTTGCGGAGCTGAACCAGTAAGATCCCCCCGTGAGGGGAACGGCTGATGACCTCGTCCAGCAGCACGACAGCCAGCATCCCTGGCTGACAGCTCTGTGCACTCGGGCATCACACATCCATCAAACTCTGTTGCATTTGAAGGGTTTTTTTCTAGTTATCTACCTACTGAATGGCATATTCTTCCATCAGGAGTCTCGTATATGGGCTGTTAATTAAAGCAGGAAGGTAATAAGTCTGCAGGAAGCAAATTTAAGAGTGAGGCACCCTTGGAAAGAACTAAGCTTTCAAAAACAAACAAACAAACAACCCAAACCCAAGTTGGCCTGCCCATCTAAGCTGAATTTTCCCTTTCCTAGTAAATGCTAAACATCGTACCTAGGTTGATAAAGGCAAAATAATACTGAAGATGCACATGGAAGAATAAAGATCTTCCTGCTCTATAGCAGCCCTTATGAAGTCATTTTCATTATAATGTAAACAAATGGCTTTGCCTAGAAAGTCACATGTATGCACATAAAAAAAATAAATCTAGTTCATAATGTTTCTAACACAAGCTTGTGGGAATGCAAGAAGCCAGTTTCCACACTTCCACACTAAGACTCTAGTTCTGTCATCACTTCAGGGTGAAAGAAGTGTTGGCTGCAGATGACGGCGGACACAACACTCCATCCTGCTGCTTCTCCCCTTTTTCCTGCTCCAACACCAGTGCTCCTCCAGCCCCACTCTGAGCCAGGCCAGGCAGCTTTGGCAAAACAGCACTTCAAGCCACCAGTTTTCAGCTGGCTCAGGTCCCCAGGCAGCTCATTGCACAGCTGGGCACACAGCTGCCCAGGCAGCAGGGCTGGCACAGGGCAGGACAGAAGGATGCAAAGGCAGAGGAAGGCCAGGCTCTTTCAAAGCCACCACTACCAAAACCTGCTTGAAACTACTGCAGAGCAGTAAGCCAGGTGCTTCATCAGTAAGAAGGTTAAAAGTTGCAGCTTGGCAGATGCCAGACTTGCACCAACCTCTAGAAAAGCCTCAGCCTTTTAGTACTATGCTCCTGAGAAAGAAAATGCTATGCATTTCTCCAGTATCGTTGGTACTCCCATCTACCTACTCAGGCTGTAAGGCTTTCTCTGCTGTCAATACTCCCCATTCACACATTTGCAATTTTGTGCAGCACCAAATAAAGCTCCCCAAAAGCTGCATTTTAACATAACCCTCTAAACTGGATGACAGTAATAGTGACAAGCGGAGAAGCTGTACTCATTGCTTCAGCTGTGAGGAAGTGAAGATCTCTCCCTCCCCACCACATTTCCAACTCTGAGTAGTTGCCAGGGAATGCCCACCTTAACCAGGGCTAAAAAATAAATCTGAGCATTAAATACACCACCTGCATGTAACAAGACCTACATTCACATTCAAGTTTGTCTGAGGCAATACTCCCAAAGCATGTGAAAATAAACACTTCAAACTTTTCAGTAACAAGTGACGTATCTGAAACTGCTCCACATGTATTACTTCTGCTTTCAAAGCTTTCTGTTCTTTCTCTCTTTTTTAAAGGGGCTTCATCATAACAGAAGTGCGCTTTTGTAAAATGCCAGCTTCGCTTTCAAGTGCTATAATTTTCAATCCAATGACTTTTTACACTCCACAAGATGATTCTGCTTTGAGGTCAAACAAGTTACATGAAGTTACCATTAAATGCAGTTAAATCAAGCTTGAAAGTTGGCACAACCAGCCCCTGCACATAATAGCTTAATTTCACGTTATAGCTGTCCACTAGGATGACTTCAAAGACTGAATCTCATTAGCCTGATAGCAATTTCCTTCTGTTAATTTTACACTCATTCACCTAGCAAGCCATTAAGGCAAAATGTAGATTTTGTGCAGCGTATTTTACAGGTTTTGGGATTTTTGCCAACAATTCTCTAGATGACAGCATGCAAATAAGTTAGGGATTAACAGAAGTGTGTGTACTGTCAGCCATCCTCCCAGTCTTAAGGAAGCGAGTGCTTTGGGCATCAGACGCATGTTTTTCAAGGAGGCCCCGCTAGGCGCAGTCAGATCGGTGCCAGGAATCCGGTGAACCCGGGGTCACACTGTCAGGCCCCAGAGAAATGCATCTGAGAAGAACTCAGGCAGGGAATTAAATGACTGCCATTACAATACCAGGGCATCTGTCTTTCTGCAGCTCTGTTTTGCTGCATTTCTACTCTCATGAAGGGTACAAAAATAAACTCTTACCTAGTTCTCCTCGAAGGTTAAGCAGTTCTTGAGATAACTCTTTGCGCTGTTTCAGTGCTTCCTCCCTCTGCAGAGGAAAAAAACCAAAACAAACCCAAACATTTGGTTACTAGTGATCTGAGCAGGGCACCTTCCAGTAATTAACCTATGTGTCTTCTGTAGGAAAACAAGAGGAGCAAGAAGCCAAGAAATGAATCATTTAGGATAACAGCTCTGCTGTTACAAAATACACAGATGTTCTCCTGTTGTTAAGGAAGTTACACTTTAAAACAAAGAATAGCTTTTTCCAGGATAACACTGCAATCACTTTGCAGCAATTAATTATATATTTTATGATGGGTGTAGCAATATAAACCTCCAGAACAAATCAACTGATAGCTGTCAAGGGCACAAAAGTATAGTATATGTGAAAGAGGCATGCATTAAATATTTATCTTAAGCTTACTCAAACACAAACCCAAGAACTTTGCTAAATGCTCAGTCTTCCATGAAGGAAACGCACAGCCCTGTGCAAAGTTGAATACAACCCACCCCACTGCCGGCAGTTCTTAAAATTAAGACAGATGATGGTTTTTATACTGAGAGAATCATTGCAAATCTGTGCTCAACACACGCAGAAGCACCCATCTCTCTGCTCTGCCTAGAAGCTGCCCTCAGCCGGGGAAAGG